AGGGGCTGAGCCTTTCCATCATTTCACCCTATCACCTAGGAATTATGAGTTGCTAAGTATCCAGGACCTTAAAGTGTATGTTTCTGAGTGGCCCCCAACCTTTTGGGTACCATGGAGAGTGGTTTTTCCACAGACCGAAGGGGGCATATTTTCGCGTTCTGCCTGCATCCCGTTATGGGGCTTTGCTTGTTTGCACAGCATGATTTCTGTCATGCCACAGACCAGTGCCGGTCCATGGACCAGGGGTTGGGACCCCTGCAGTTGAGGATACAAAAGAAATGGTGGGAATCAAAAGATTGATGATGCTCATTTGGATTCCTGCAAGTCCTACTTTCAAATCTCAAACAATGAAAAAATATTGCTGGGGGGAGATAAGAGTTTGCCATTTCAGAAGCAAAGATATTCTATGGGAGATAAACTTTCCAAAAGATATAATAAAAAAGAGGTCTTTTTACTGGGGAAAAAAATCCCTTTGTAAAATCTTGGTTTATATTTGGAAGTTTTCAGGACAGCTAGAGTGGTATGATGTGTATAACTTACTAGGAGGAACCCTATGTAGATTCTAGATGTGGATCTGTTTTAACAGATGCCAACAGTTTTATTAGTTGTTATATCAGGCTCCCTCCCTTAGCAGACTCAAAACTTGGCTGAAGCTTCCCAGATATTTAATACCACATGGCTAGTAAATTATCTTTATTGTATAATAAAACTGAAGCCAGTTGGAATAGCTGATTCAGAGAATGAAGTAGCAACTCCTTAACTCCCTCCTAAATTGAAACTCAATATTTTTTCCTCTCTTACCATGGCTTAATACATTTTGATTCTCCCAAATAAATTTTCCTAACTTTTAAAGATATTAAAAACTGAATTTTCCATAGAGTTAAATGAAAAGGGGCGGGTGGGAAATGCACAGGAAAGTTTTAGCACAGAATTAAAAAGACATTAAAACACCTGATTATATATTGATTTCAACCAAAACATCCCTGTGAAACAACCTGCTACACTGTACCATTCATACTTACGTGTGTCTTTGTATAGCAATAGTAACAACAATAGCATTTAGCAATATACTGCTTCACGGTGCTTTACATCCCTCTTTCTAAGCAGTTTACAGAGTCACCATATTGCTCCCAACAATCTGGGTCCTCATTTTACCAACCTTGGAAGGATGGAAGGCTGAATCAACCTTGAGCCTGGTGAGATTTGAACTCCTGGCTGTGGGCAAACTTTGCCTGAAATACTGCATTCTAACCACTGTGCCACCATGGCTCATGGTGACTGTTATTTAAATAATAGACTGTTATTTAAATGTACTTCCAAAACAGAGAATACAGTCCCCTTATCTTCTAGATATAGGTATATGCTAAGTGCTGGGCATAAGTATATGGTGGGTGAACAGGGAGTGATAAAATGCATGTCACTGTGACATACCCATTTCTTTCTGGCATTCCAATGCAAGTACAACAGGCAGGAGTTGTATCATGAAGCTACCATGTTTGAGTTGCCATTGTTCATCATCACAACTAGAGGTGGAAAGTGATGATCCTATGCAAATACAGTCCTACTCTGTCAAGCATTTTCACCTGTCAACAATATTTTCAGCACCAACTGCCAAAGGTCAAGATACAAATGCTGCCAACAAGGACATTTAGAAACACCTAATTGTAGGGTAGATTTCTTCTGATGCCTCCATAATTCATTTGCAAAAAGAAACTATCACATTTCTCACAGAGAGCATGGGAATTGGAACAGATAAAGTTCCACAGAGAGTTTTTTTTCTGTCTGGTGAAAAGATAGAAAAAGGGAGTACTTCATTAAAAGCCTTTCCAGCATTAACAATAATTTATGGCTGGCTGCTTTCTCTAAGTACTGGGATATGAACCTGTGATCTTATTGGCTATAATTCTGCCTGCTTTCCTGCACAAACTGTTCTGGGAAAAGAAGATTTATCATATCTTAATACAGCTGACCCTATAGATAATCAGTTCATGTAAGGTGAATGGTGGATTCCCCAATCACTTCCTATACACTATCTCAGACAAAATTTTCTACTAGTCTTATTATGTTTAACTTGACACTTTCCAGCAAGACCTGATTATTTACCTCCCTTGCAGATACCTTAGGAAAATATCCTTAACATTTTTAAAGCAACAGCAATAGCATCTCACCGCTTGCTCCAAATGCTTGCTGGTAGAAGGAAAGATTACCCATCTCTTCCTTTGTGATTCTGGGTTCAAAGGCCACCTAAACCTGACTTCAACACAGGGGGGCAGCAGATATGTTTTGCTGGAGATGGCAGGCCAGCTAAAAAACAGAACAAAATGCATTGTCCTACTTCTGCCCTCAGATAACAGATAATCAGAGTTGGAAGGGACCTTATAGGTCATCTAATTCACACACACACACCCCATAGTGGGAGACCCTACACCATTTCTGACAAATGGCAGTCCAATCTCTTCTTGAAAGTCTCAAGTGATATGACCCCCATGGCAGGACCAGCCATATTTCCTACTGCTTTCATTCCAGCACAGTAAAATCCCCTAGGATTTTTCCCCCCACAATAACAATTAACTCTTTGAGTAGGCTGCCTCTCAGAATTCTTCTCTCTGTACTTAGGAAAATCAGAATGTGAACTATTTGTGGGCAATCTATCTTTTATTTTAGTTCAATAAAGCAATAGCTAACTCTGTTCTCATGTTCCTTCTAATTTGTCTCGTAATCTTCTGTAATCTGTTTCTCTCATTATCTGCATATTTCCATTTTTTTAAAATCCTCTACTTTGTATATGATTTAGTTTCCTTCACCTTCATCCAAAAGGAAGGGAAGATTCCAGCAACACTTGCAAGAAAGAACACAGAATAGTATGTAAAATTCTGCATGCAAACCCCTTATCGGTTCAGATGCTATAGGGTCAAGCAAATTTAATATGCAATTGTGCCCATGTTTGTTTGGAAATAATTTGTTCTAGTTTGTTCTAATTTGTTGTAGATAGGGCTTCCTCTCTTATAAAAGAGTCCAGTTGCACCCTTAATGCATGTATATTGTCCATGTCCAAAACTTGCATTGTGATATGGAAACTACTTCCTTAGAAATGAACTCTTGATTATATAACTTTCCTCGTGAGAGAGTCAAAACATGGATAGCTCTGAGTGACTTTCATCCAGGCTGAGCCATTCATAATAACAAAGACAAGTGAGACAATATCTTGCCAAGACAATTAGATTATTTTATAGAGTCTCTCTTCTTGCCTTTCAATGTGCACTGCCAATGTGCAGAACAAAGAAGTCATAAATTTATCATGATTTTAAGAAAGAACTGTATTTGTAGATAGATTTAATTATTTGGAACCTTGAATAGCTTGAGTTTCAAATTGCTAAGATCCACATTACTTGGCACTAGCAACTAGAGAGAGAGAGTTCCTCTAGCTCCAGACTATTTCTAATAACCAGGAAAGGCTGCAAATCAGCCTGCTTTGTAAAGGAAATATTAGACTGAATGACGATTAAAAGTGATTGGAGAGAAATAGCTAAAGAAGATCAGTAATTGCCTAGATAATTCATGTTTACTCATGTTACATAACACATAGATTAACCTTTAATCACATCAAGTACAATCCAGAAAGACAAGTTATAAAATGGGAATTAAAAAAAAAAAGATTTCCCCTTTTATCATTTATATATGGCTTGTTCATTCTGGGATCTGTCAAGTTCTATTTTAAAAGGCAGCATCACATGGCCCAATCTGCTTTTGCAGCCAATGTTTAGGAGGCAACGATGCAAAGTAATGTAATTTTTCATACTGAGAATTCCCCCCCCCCCCTTCTCTTAATGGAAAGCACCGTTTCTGGCATCTAGTTATTTATTTAATTGCGTTGGTCACCAAGCTCCCATTGGTGAGGTAAGGTAACATCTGAGGGAACCAACCAATGAGAAACTCCAAAAAGAAATGTTTGAAGCCCCTCCTATCCTGAAGCAAGGAAAATTGCAACAGAATTAGCTGTGGATGTTAAGCAGATTTTTGTAACAGTTTCCAATTGAAGATAAAAGTAGACAAGGTAGAAACAGAAGGTTCTCTCCTGCAAATAACCCAGGCCCACAATCCACAGACATCATAGTGAGTGCTTCAAATTGGGCTAAAAAAAAAAGATAATTGCTACTAAACAAAGATGTCAGCTAAATAGTTGTAAACCTGAATCAGGTATATATTCATCCCAGCAGATAGTAACCTTTAGCTAACTTTCTCTAAGCTGGAAAAATAAGCAGGGTCAGATATGATTCCTCCTTGAATGGGGGATCACCAAAAAATCCCAGGGTTATAGGCTAAGGCTTGGAAATTAAAAATGGATCTCAGAAGAAGGTAGACCAACCGACTTGTTGCCATGAAAGCTGCCATAAATGCGTCCATGAAGTCATCAGGACTGTCAACCTACACTGAATGGTAGTTTGTTCTGCATTATTGTATTTGGGCAAACTTGATGAACGCTCTCTATGTTTAATGAAGTGAACAGATTCAGATCATATCTATACAAGCATGCATTTAGCATGCAGAATACATTAAAAATGATTTGATACTAAGGCCTTAGGCAGAATGGAGTGCTAAGACTGAGAAACAGGGCTGGGAAATTATACTAAGACCTTATTTCCCTAGTAAACATTGTATTATTTCTCCTCGTCCAAGTCTCCTGTCTGAATTTCAGTGTTTAATTTGGAATTTCATAACTGGGCTATAACTCAAAAGTCAGTCTTTGATTAATCAATGCAGCCTTGAATGAGAAGCTGAAGACTCTGAATTTTTGGCTTTATGAGGTCATCAATGTTAGTTATTAAAGCAGGTGGTTCTCTGTCCAAAATGTATCTCTCCAAGGCTGTCATCTAATCAAATACACATGAAAGAAAAGTAATTGCTTACTTTCTTGCGGATCACACTTTCACCTAAAATTCAGAAGCATACCATCTACCCCATGAATGGAAGATTAAGTAAACGATCTATTCCAATAAACTGACAGATTCTAATGGATTCTTAATGGGATGTTTTCCATTGCTGATGAATCCTAAATTCTACAGGTGGTGAATGTTCATCATTTTCATTTAGGTGGGGATATCAAACTTGCATTGTCATGGTGTCATCATGTGATGTAGCGGGACTTCCCCCCCTTCACTAAACCAGGTGGGGGCAGGTCCAGTATGTGATGCATCCAGCACTTGGGCTACAAATTTTACCCCCCTGATTTAGGGTGATAGAGGTTGGCACTCCAGAGGTCTGATTCAGTGAGGATGGGCAAACTGGAGATAATTGTAAGACTGAAGCACTGTCAGTATAGGTAGTTCATCTGACTAAGTATTTAACCATCTTAAGAATCACACACAGATCTTGGGTGGATGTCCATATAGCTTAAATTTCATTTTATCAATGCAAACTGGTCTCCCAGTTCAACCCCACCGGGCCTGCCATTAAGTAAGGACTCTCTTCAATCCAGCTTGACTATTCCATGGGTTCATCCATGTTGAGTTTTTTTGGGAAATGCTTTAATATTGCCATCTTTCTTCCTTTTCCCTGATCCAGCCTACAGACTTGGCATTAGTTATTCATTCTTCATCCAACTATAGCTGATCAATATTACGTACATCCTAATTATTGGATTGATGTCATGTATCTTCATTAAGACTTTTTAGTTACTTTAAAGTTTAAACTGTAGCAACTGGACTGCCAAGCTGTGGAGCTATTTGAAAATAATTTCACCATACCTTTGTTCTCCTGACAGATTTCAAATTGCTGGCTTTGACATACGCAGTCTGAGATTCTAAAATATTTAAAAGATTGCTTTTCTCAAGTTAGCATACCTAGCCCTGAGGTCTACTCTGATATCTATGCCTTTTAGACATTAAAGGATAGCTACTAAAAAAACTCAGCTCCTTTTTGATGCTCAGTAAAATTTTACCACCTAGCACCATTTCCACAAAATATTAGCTACCAAATAAAACATCTTGATTTAGCTCTGCTTTTTAATAAATAATAATGTTGTGTTTTTATATTAACTACTATTTTTAATGCTGTTTCACTCCTCACTGCTAATTTGTTTTGCTGATTCATTGACAGTTCAACGTGCAGCCTTGTTCCAGTTCTTTCATGTTATTGTAATTAAATAATGTTTATAAGGTTCAGGGTATGAGTTGTGTATCTGCATCTCCTCAAATTTTCCTGGACTATAGTTTGCACCTGGCTGCTCAACATGCTGAATGGGATTTATGGGAAATTGGACTTTTTAGTATCTGGAAAACCCCAACCCTGGTTCAACTTAAAAACAAAATCTAATAATAACTATATAAAGCTAGTTAGAACTGACCTGCTAGTTGTTTAGAGTAAATTACAATAAATCTTAATTAAGGAAGGGGAGGGGAAAGGAAAAACATCAAACCAGAAGAAATGCTTGAAGTTAACTCATTCTCCAAGTGAGTTCTATCCCAACCATAGGATTTCCTGCTGTCAGTTATCTTATCTGTTCACTACGATCCAAAGTAGGCTTACTTAATTCTGCAGGAGTGGACATGTCAGTATGAAGCTTCAGATAATGACTGGCCAGAGGCAAAGGTGTGGGGTCAAGATTCTACATCAAGAGAAGACCCATTATAAACATTAATGCTAATCAAATGTTCTTTGAAGAACTCCCACAATTCTTTGCCCCAGGATTGTGGGCTTAATAACAACTAAAGTTCTTCTTCAAAACTTTATGCTGTCCTCTCAGTTACTGATAGGTGGGGGTGAGGATGACTTATTGAGTCACCACCAAAGTCCAATAAGTAGTGGAAATCAAAATACATTGTCTGTTTGGTCTAAAATAATAGTGTGCTTTTTATGTGAAGTTGCTAGTTCTGGCTCTTTCCATCCCGAATCAATGAAATAGCAATAGCACTTCAACTTATATATTGCTTCACAGTGCTTATATAGCCCTCTCTAAACAGTTTACAGAGTTAGCCTATTGGGCCCAACAATCTGGGTCCTCATTTTACTGACCTTGGAAAGATGGAAGGCTGAGTCAACCTTGAGCTTGGTGAGATAAATGGCAGGCAGCAGAAGTAGCCTGCAGTTCTGCACTCTAATCACTGCACCACCATGGCTCTATGCCATGCCTTTTGGGAAAAAAAATCTGGGAGAAGAAAATCCATCTGCAATATACACTGCTCAAAAAAATAAAGGGAGCACAAAAATAAGACATCCTAGATCTGAACGGATGAAATATTCTTATTAAATACTTTGTTCATTACATAGTTGAATGTGCTGACAACAAAAAAATTATCAATGGAAATCAAATTTAGCAACCCATGGAGGTCTGGATTTGGAGTTACACTCAAAATTAAAGTGGAAAAAAACACTACAGGCTGATCCAACTTTGATGTAATGTCCTTAAAACAAGTCAAAATGAGGTTCAGTAGTGTGTGTGGCCTCCACATGCCTATATGACCTCCCTACAATGCCTGGGCATGCTCCTGATGAGGTGGTGGATGGTCTTTTGTGGGATCTCCTCCCACACCTGGACTAAAGCATCCCCCAACTCCTGGACAGTCTGTGGTGCATCGTGGCGTTGGTGGATGGAGCGAGACATGATGTCCCAGATGTGCTCATTTGGATTCAGGTCTGGGTAACGGGTGGGCCAGTCCATAGCACCAATGCCTTCATCTTGCAGGAACTGCTGACACACTCCAGCCTCATGAGGTCTAGCATTGTCTTGCATTAGGAGGAACCCAGAGCCAACCGCACCAGCTTATGGTCTCACAAGGGGTCTGAGGATCTCATCTCAGTACCTAATGGTAGTCAGGCTACCTCTGGCGAGCACATGGAGGGCTATGCGGCCCCCTAAAGAAATGCACCTCACACCATTACTGACCCAATGTCAAATCAGTCATGCTGGAAGATGTTGCAGGCAGCAGAATGTTCTCCACAGCGTCTCCAGACTCTGTCACATGTGCTCAGTGTGAACCTGCTTTCATCTGTGAAGAGCACAGGGCGCCAGTGGCGAATTTGCCAATCTTGGTGTTCTCTGGAAAATGCCAAACGTCCTGCATGGTGTTGAGCTGTAAGCACAACCCCCACCTGTGGACGTCAGGCCCTCATACCACCCTAATGGAGTCTGTTTCTGACTGTTTGAGCAGCCACATGAACATTTGTGGCCCGCTGGAGGTCATTTTGCAGGGCTCTGGAAGTGCTCCTCCTGTCCCTCCTTGTACAAAGGCAGGGGTAGCGGTCCTGATGCTGGGTTGTTGCCCTCCTACAGCCTCCTCCACATCTCCTGATGTACTGGTCTGTCTCCTGATAGCACCTCCATGCTCTGGACACTACACTGACAGACACAGCAAACCTTCTTGCCACAGCTCGCATCCTGGATGAGCTGCACTACCTGAGCCACTTGTGTGGGTTGCAGACTCCGTCTCATCCTACCACTAGAGTGAAAGCACCCCAGCATTCAAAAGTGACCAAACCATCAGCCAGAAAGCATAGGAACTGAGAAGTGGTCTGTGATCACCGCCTGCAGAACCACTCCTTTATTGGGGATGTCTTGCTAACTGCCTATGCTTTCCACCTGTTGTCGATTCCATTTGCACAACAGCATGTGAAATTGATTGTCAATCAGTGTTGCTACCTAAGTGGACAGTTTGATTTCACAGAAGTGTGATTGACTTGGAGTTACATTGTGTTGTTTAAGTGTTCCCTTTATTTTTTTGAGCAGTGTATATCTGTGTCTGTCAAATTATAATATCCCATTTTCAAGCAGGGCAAAACCTGCTGCTGCTGCTGCTGCTGCTGATGATGATGATGATGATGATGATGATGGAGGAACAAAGTAGCTCCAGCCACTGCAAGAGATTGGATCCACTGCAGGAAGCCAGAAATACTTCCCATAAATGTGCTGGGGATTGGCAACAGACCAATAGCAAAAGGGGCCATCCAGGGCCACTGTTAAAGGGTAAATTGCATCAGGTTGACATTATTCAATTCTGGGAGAATACTGACAGACAGGATTGAGCCTCAGTGGACTATTGATTGGGATTGAGAAGCTGTTTTGTAAAGGAAGCCCACTGTCCTGTTGCATATGCTCTGAAAAGAAATAGGCAAGAAGTTATCTGTTCACAACCATGAGATCTGACCTCTGTTTTTATGATGTTCTTGTCCTAATGAAGCAAGATTTTCACTGTAGATGTCAAATTAATCCATCTCATGCACTGGAGTTTGAGGCATTTCCCATACTAGAAGTCCAGATTAATGGCCACAAAATAATGCCAGCTAGGTCAGTTTGCTGATTGTTATTTAAGCCTGTCCAATATATATCACCGCCAGATTGAAAGATGAAGATACAGAGTCTTAAACCTCTAACGAAAATCTTGTGCAGTGAGAAATTCAGTAAGACAGGATTTTAAACTCCATGAGCCTAACATTCTAGCATGAAACAGATGAGCGTTAAAAATAACCCTTCCCTCTCTGCTCCAGCATATATACATGTTTCTGTGCATGTGTGAATTATTTATTGATTTAGGAAATGTACTCCAGACCACAATGAGTTCATTATATGTGTATTAGATCTTTTTCCAAATACAAGGCAAACAAAGGGCCTTGAGATATTGGCAGCGATGAGTCCAATTAAAGGGATCAGTGGGCTCATGTTCACAAATTGATTATAGTGATGTCAATATTAGTAGAGATGTTTGGGAGCTGTAAATCTCAAGCTGCTTATTTTGAGAAGATCCAGTGTTTAAATAAGGGCCTTAGTCCTAAAGGCTCTACAAACTTTTGGATATGAGAGAGAGAATTTACAAATCTGGTAAATTGGACAGCAAGCATCTTGCATGCTGTTGAAAAGTTTAAAAAGTGAAGAAATGGAATCCGGGAACATTAGAGAGTGTAGCATGACTCTAGAAATTCTATTTATGAAGTTGCTATCTGCTGAAATGGCAGATAAAAAACTACCAGAATGCAGACAAGAAATGGGGAATTTCCAGATATTATTCAATTCATATACAAGTATTCCTTAACTTACAATAGTTCATTTAGTGACCGCTCAAAGTTATGACACTGAATAAGTGACTTATGATTGTTTTTCACACTTACAACCATTGCAGAATCCCTGTGTTCACATAATCAAAATTCAGACGCTTGGCAACTAGCATATATTGATGACAGTTGCAGTGTCCTGGGGTCATTGATCACCTTTTGCAACCTTCTGACAAGCAAAGTCAATGGAGAAGCCAGTTTCACTTTAACAACCGTGTTACTAAACTTAACAACTGCAACGATTCATTTAAAAATGGTAGCAAGAAAGGTAAAATAAGGAGCCTCTGTGGCACAGTGGTTAGAGTGCAGTACTGCAAGCTACTTCTGCTGGCGGTCGGCTGCCTACAATTTGGCAGTTCAAATCCCACCAGGCTCCAGGTTGACTCAGCCTTCCATCCTTCAGAGGTGGGTAAAATGAGAACCCAAATTGTTGGGGGCAATATGCTGACTCTGTAAACTGCTTAGAGAGGACTGTAAAGCACTATAAAGCAGTATATAAGTCTAAGTGCTATTGCTATTGCTAAAATGGAGCAAAACTCACTTAACAACTGTCTCACTTAGCAACATAAATTTTGGGCTCAATTGTGGCCATAAGTCAAGGACTACCCATACTTCATTACTGATTTTCCAGGGAACATACACATTAAGGGTTATCTATAGCCTTCAATAGCCAATAACCCAGTGGTGGGATTCAATTTTTTTTGCTACTGGTTCTCTGGGCGTGGCTTGGTGGGCATGGCAGGGGAAGGATACTGCAAAATCCCCATTCCCTCCCCACCCCACTAACCTACTTTCCAGCTTCATTCTCCTGTGCAGGGCAACAAAAGAAGACCCAGCCGATCAGCTGGGAATCAGGAGGCAGAGAATAGAAGGGGGAGGGGCCAGTCAGAGGTGGTATTTGCCTACCCAAAATTTCCACTACCGGTTCTCCAGAACTGGTCAGAACCTGCTGAATACCACCTCTGCATTTCTAAGATAGAGTCATCTTTAGAAGTGGTTTGTTGCACATATTCTTTAAAAAGATTGTGTTATGGTTGTTTCTTTTCCTCATAAAAATCTTATAAAAATTGTATAAGTATAAGGATGCTTACGACAGCAGTTACACCAAACAATTGTAGTTTTGCTCTCCAGTCAGGAGAGGGTGTTGTTTATTGCAGCTCCAGCCTAGAATTCAAATTGGCAAAAAAAAAAAAAATGGGGGGGCGGGGGTGTCTTTTAATACTCTCATAATTTCTATTTCTTCCAAAGCAAAGTATGGGAAGGAATAATTAGTACATTTATATAACTCCAATTAGGTGTCTCTAAAGATGGACCTACAGGCCATATTTTCTTTCTTCTTGTCCTGTGATTCAACACATTTACAGTTGGGAGAGGAGAAGGAAACTGTATGTTATGACTTTTTTTTTTTAAAAAAAAAGAATTATGGTTTTCCTCTCCATAGAAGTTGGAAAAACAAAATCTTAGGTGAGACCTGTTTTATAACAATTTTTTTTTAATCATCTCTCCCAAGATCAGTGCAACTATGCGCTATTACATTATGTATGCGGCTTTAAAAATATCTGTACAAGTTTAATTTACTATTCATCAGCTTCATGAAGCATAATTTCTTCAGAACTTCCTTCCCATCTTCCCACTTGTTTTGATCATCTAAAATTTCTCTCCATAGCTTAGTCACGTCTTCTCTTTGGCAACTTGCAAGAGCCTGTTTGCTAGTGTTTGCCTATGTCTGTTGGTTGGCTTATATATGGGACTGAGTGACCGTGAGATTTTATTTTTTTATTTTTTATTTTCAGTTCAAAGCTGGTGTTTTTCCTGCAGATCATGAGAAAAAGAGGATAAGTCTGTTCTTATATGAGGTCTGTCTTTCTGCCTCTCTTTCTATCTGAAACCAAAATGTCCACAAAGGTGCTTTTTTTCAAAAGGAAAAACAAAGTCCATTTGCTTTTTTAAAAAAAAAGTACCTTTGGGACAATCATGATCTGGACGACTTGAGTATCTTCCTAGACATTCAACACGTCTACACTATAGTAGGGAGAGGAGAAGAGTTTAGAAATCCAGCCTAGCCCTAATTCTGTAGAGACTATTACACAACCTTCTGGGAAATGTTCTCAGGAAGATACACAATGTTAATAATCCAGTCATGATATTTAAATTTTCTCATTTGAAGGAAGAAAAAAAGTGGGGTAAGGAGTTGCTGCCAACTGCTTCTTCTTACATCATGGAACTTTTTATGTGTGTTTGTGTGTGTGTGTTGACATTAATAGCCATGTTTTGATTTTTTTTTTCCCCAGTGGATGTTTTCAGAAGCAATTTATTAAAATCCCTATTCAGTTGAAATCTTAATTGCTGTTAGGACAATACCTGAAGATCCACACTCAATTAAAGTTCTGGAATGCAACACAATGGACAACAGTAGTTTCCTATTGCCAATCACACTGGTTATAAAAAAACATTGTAAATGACATCACAAGCTACAGGATCTCAGATGTTTGTGAGGTGGAGTGGATGAATCTTCCTCCTGGTGACTTTGAAGATGCTCAAGCTGTTGAGAAGTGGCAGGACATCCATGAATCACACACGATGCCAGGTTTTTCATCGTCTTCAAGTTTCACATTTGAATGGAGCAGGTCTTGACTGAACATTTCTGTCTTTAAAGATTAGTCAGGATGCTATAGATAAATCTCTGCTGTGAGACTGTCCTATTTGTACACAACAGGCATCCAATCAGAATGTATCAGTCCAGACCACTAAGAGATATCTGAGGTCAAAGTGATACTAAGCTACTTCTCAACTTCTGTAGTGACACACACTTTTTAAAACGGGTGACATTTTGTTAAAACAAACAAACTTGCATTAGAATAAGAGAAAGCACAACTGCACACTCCCAGCAATGGTATTGACTGAATGGTGACAAGATCAATTCACTCCAAGAATTATCCATGGCCTCTCCTATACCTCCTGCTTCTTTTTTCCCCAGAATTGAAGATGTAGTTGTTGGTTCAGTTGGGGTTTTGTGGGCGACAGGAAAGAAGCAACTTTATGGTTCTCTCTCTGTGTGTCTCTTTCTGTCTCTCTCTCTCTCTCTTTCTCTTTCTGTCTCTCTCTCTCTCTGCCTCTCTCTGTGTCTCTGTCTGACTCTCTCTCTCTTTCTCTCTCTCTTTCTGTCTCTGTGTCTCTCTCTTTCTCTCTCTGCCTCTCTGCCTCTCTGTCTGCCTCTGTCTCTCTCTGTCTCTCTGTCTCTGTCTCTGTCTCTCTGTCTCTGTCTCTGTCTGTCTGTCTGTCTCTCTCTCTTTCCAAAATGCCACTAGCCAGCTCTGCACAGATGACTGCTTATTATGGCCAGGGTATAATGTGCCTTTGTGTGAGATTAGTCCAATGCTGCTTTTGTTTCCGTATTTCATCAGGCATGAGAAAGACCTGGAACAACAAACAGAAAGTCAAAGCAATATGATCGTGACAGGTGGGGAGCACTGAAAGGAGTCAATCTGCCAGATCCCAAATTGTTCTCGTGTTGGCAAAGTGAAAGGAAAGGAGGATCAGAGATCTGTTTTCACCCTTCCTTTTAATAATATGCTTCCTCCTGCTGTTTCCAACCAGGAGGATATTAATTCCTGTAAATGTCATAGTTGGCATTTATGTCTGCATATTTTAAGAGAAGTTCCTCACTGACCATACTGGGAGTAATAAAGAAAGAAAAAGGGACAGTCCCAACTTGTAAATTTTCTGGTACACTATAAAAACAAAACAAAAAAGTTTGCTCCATAAAGTGGCATCTGAAGCTTTGGATGATCTAGAAGTATTATATATAATTATATAATTTTCTCCCTTCCCAAAAGGAAAGTCTCAGCTTCCTTGAATTTGGGAGCCCATAAAAATCAACGAAAACAAGTTTAGAAAGAACTGGACAGTTCTGTGATCCATTGGGTCATCTTTTAAGAGAAAAGTAGCACAAGGTGATGTGATTTATTGGCTGATTTATTGGTTTTTTTTATCCTAATGTCCTGTGATTATCTACAGAGTATAACATAAACAGAAAAATAATTGTAGGGGGCAACGAACTTCAATAATAAGTCAATATTTACTTGCCTGAAAAGATAAATGGAAAAACAGAAAAGCAGTGATAGTGGGAGTGAAGACCCTGAAGCAGATATGAATCTTAGAGTTCTGGATTCTGCATGGCTCTTCTAAGACAGGCACACCTGATTGCAATTTGAGAGTAGCAGATGTCTTTTCCCAAGTAGCCTGAAATAGGAGAATCATGACACAGACCTAAGGGGAGTGGGGGAAGATTAGTGGAAGCCCCTCTCTATATTTTTCCTTCCTCCACTATATTTTAAAGTGGCTTAAAAAGACTAAATGGATTTCCCCTTGGCTGGCTATAAATCCTCCATGCTGGGTTTCAGTTGAAAAATGAAATGAAATTAATGTTTCTATATTATTGTCGATTTAAGCCACTTTACTTTTGAGGCATGCTAAGGGATTTTCAGCAACCTTCCTGATCAGCAGTTCTCCATTTAGCTTACAGATATTCTGTGTCTTTTTTTCAGGGCCCATGAAGTATCTTTCAGACAAGACAAATTGATGAAACTTGTGTCATTTCAAATTACAGCCTGAAGTTCTGACCGTCTGTCATCAAATATAGCGACTATCTTACAAATGTACTATTCTGGCTATTGACTGAATTACACACTTCACTTTGACGTCTGAAAGTTCCCAAGAAATTGCTTTTATTATAAGCATTCAAATAAGATAAACATTCAGCTGTATCTCACCATTTTGGGGGGATTCTCCTTGGCTCTGATTGATGACTGTAGAAGCCCATTCCTTTGATGCATCACCTAAAGTAGGAAGAGAGCTGACCTAGGGATTGTGGGTTTTTTTTTTAAAAAAAATTTTTTTTTCACTACTTACTGAAAATCCAGATTTTCCCATGGAAAAGTCTTTATCTCCAGTTAAGATTTCTGGGCAATGTTTTCTTTTCAAATGCCCAGTGTGTATATTTACCTAAAATGGTGCTTTTCTAATGTCCTGCCAGAAGGTCAAAACTCCTCTGAAACTGAAGCTGGTGAAGAACATGGCCTGGGAAATTGGCTTTCATTGAAACAGCTGTTTAAGCAGTAGCAGTAAAATAAAAATAAAAATAAATAAATTCCTCCAGTGAGGGCAGGAAAAATTTGTGAATGATTCCTGTTAAGTCAGAAACTACAGGGTCAGTTCTGCTCTTGTACTTGGGAAAAAGACTCTTCTTGTGACTGCAGTTGTTTTTCCTGTTGCTGCTGCTGTTTCCTAATATTCTGAGTGAATATTAATCAGTGAGCAAGCATATGATATGAAGGCATCAATGATTTCATGATCAGTGATGACAGCTGCCAGCTTGGAGAATGACTGCAAATATTAATAGGTGCATTCAACCTATCAGAGCTAATGACATCTATTCGAATGCAAACTTTTTTTTGCCATTGTTCATTGCTCTTTTGGGGGGGGGGTCTTTTGGGGGGTGCCAAGTGAAAAGCCCTTGGGTTTTCTGCCTCAATTACAGATCTACATTTATTTTTGAATATCTTCTTAACCAGTCAAAAGAGCCCCTGACATACCCGATACTATTAAATCTCGCCGCCTCTTTGAAACTTTGGGAGACCTTATAAATCTTACAAATTAAGATTATCATCTGTATTGTTATCTCATTCCCGTATGTGAATGTGGATGATGTCCCACTAAACAGATTTCCCTATATACTGGCTGAGAATCATTATGGACCTTAGCTGGCCAGATGCCAACCACTGTATTGCACTTTAATTTGAAGAAAATCATCCTGGGATCACAGCCATAGCACTTATACTTAAATACCACTTCACAGTGCTTTACAGCCCTCTCTAAGCGGTTTACAGAGTCAGCATATCACCCCCCCAACAGTCTGGGTCCTCATTTTACCCACCTCGGAAGGATGGAAGGGTGAGTCAACCTCAAGCCTGGTGAGATTTGAACTGCTGGCGGTCAGCAGAATTATACTGCAGTACGCCATTTTAACTATTGCGCTGCCACGGTTTCATGCTAATTTTCAATGTGAAATAAGCCAAAATACAAATTAAAAGGGATGCATTGAGTCTCCTATAGTTTCAATAGACCTGCAAATGCTTCTAAGATTCTCCCAAATATTCCAAAATGGGGGGTGGGGGGTGGGGGTGGACATGGTCCATCAATCCTGACCAGTTTCTTAAAGTGACATTTGTGCACCTGTGGCCTGCTCTCTGCAACTCTCTTTATTCAATAAAAGGAAAAGGAGAAAAATCGCCAAAAGAACTCTGCCCTTGATACAAGGTTTAAGGCTTAAGGAAGTGATAAAAGAATAACAAACATTGGACAGTAAAAACGTTCAAGGATAAATACTCAGTTTCCAGTCTGTCATAACACTGAAAAGATGAACAGCGCCTAGAAATTACTTTCTGCCAATGTTTTGCTTACATTCGATACAACATGTTCCAAGCAGGACATTGTGGGGAATAAAGCATTTGAGTGACACGACTCCCAACGAAAGCACGTTTACAATCATCCCTCGGCTGCGCTGCAAATGCTATTTAAAGGAAAGAATACAGATGTCATGGTGACTACATGGTAACAGCAGTGTACAAAAGGGTTACAAATGAGCATCGACATCTCAGTTTCCATAGGAATTTGGTGAGCAGTGAGAGTTTTGAGAGCCGTGTTGCTAAACAAAAGAATATTCAGCCTTTTGATGAGCATAATTATATATTCCCATTGGAATGTCTCTTTGCACATGTGCCCGTTTTGAGCTTAATGGAAAACAGGCCTGCAGAAACCTTTAGGTGTCAAGGAAACAAAGAGCTGGGAGCTACATCATCCCTTTCAGCACATGGAAGCAGTAAAGGTTACCGATGCACACCGTGGAGATCCTATCAGGTCACTGGGGCACCTGTGAAATATTGCTGGGTACAGCAGTAAAAAGGAAAAAAATAAGAAGCAGACAAGTAGAAGGGGGATTTGTTTAGCTGGATTATGCCTGTCAGAATGGGCTTGAGGAACACAGAGAAAGAAACATGAAAGAGAATCACAAAGACACTCCTTTGCAGGACTAGGATAAGCTCTGATCAGCATCTCAAGAGAAAGAGCATGCATTCACATTTTTTAAAAAAAATATAACATGCTTTTATTCCCTCTGTTTGAACAAAACAGTTATGTGACTCTAGACTATTCAAAGCAGGCTTCTGACAAGTTCATTCCATATTGCCTGCTTGTTTGCAGACTGCTAACTAGTTTCAGTCCGCAGGTCAGAAATCTTGATTTCTAAGGTAAGAACATGTTAGATGTAGCATCATCCAGAAAAAAATGTCTGGAGCCAGTTCATACTGAGATGGGCTTCAGTGACTGAATTTTACAGATCTACCTGTGTTTTTAGCATCCATTACTAAAACAAAGATGGCAAATCTCTTTATGAATTCCAATAAAGAGTCCATAAAGACTCTTTATTGGAGACTTTATGGACTCAGTAGTGTACTAACCATTAAGCAGACTAAGCACGCGTTTAGGACACCAGGCCCAAAAGAGGCACCACAAAGTTGAGAATATGGCTTCATTTGTTCAGTATGTACAAAGGGAGGCAGGGGGGAGCACCAAGATTTGTCAGTGCTTAGGGTACCAGTGAGCCTTAATCTGCCACTGCCAAGACTGAACACACAGACATTAACAGCCAGATTCAATTTCTACTACATCTGTCCTTGAATGTGGCAGAAATTGAATCTGGCTTTCATATATTGCAAATATATTTGCAAATCCTTCCTTCTCATCCATACTCGATTTCATTCTTGTCTTCTTCAGCCCCTTTAAGGTTTTAACTGGTGTTCTGTACTATCCTTGTGAATTTCTTACAAAATGTTACAGAAACTTGGGGTTTGACAATAGTCTGAAGGAGTTCCCTATATAGTGTTAACTCTTTTACTGAGACCTATTATAGAATAGCTTGGGATGGGCAACTAATATCCAGTTGAATTGTATTTCTATTTTCCCCCCTCAATACTTTTGATTTTTACCTTTCCACTGTCTTCAGCTAAAGATATAAGAACTTTAATAAGAAATATACAAGAAATATTAGATCTAGAAGGAGGATCTATGGAAGCCTTCAGAGGTGTTATAAAATAAGCATAAAAGAGATGTATTTATCCATTTCAACTTCAGTCTGCACTTTTTCCTATTGTTTTTGCAAATGCAAATGGAAGATGTTATTTTCACTAAAGTTTTACTAATACCTTAGTGATTTTTTTAAATTGGAGAACTGCCTGAAAAGTTAGAATGGTATAAATTTTGAAGGATAAAAGGTTTTGATTTATATGTTTGTATGAATCATATGCATTTCTGCTAAACTGTAAATCAACTTCATCTTCCTCCTGGCTGCATCATTATCAGTTAAAATGTCACTGAAAGTAGTTTTGCTAAATTGGGAGAAGGATGCCAAGAGTAGAGGATTAATACAGAATTTTAAACTTCTGAGCAATCTCTTTCTGCAAAATCTTTGAATTTTAATGTTTAAAAAAGAAATCAGCATCTAAACCTAATTGTATAATTTCATACAAAACATTGTTTAACAAGGGGATTCCTTTATTTAAATTGTAATTATTACACTTTCTTCTATTATTAGGAAAACAGAAATCCATAGGCTGAAGACTGACTATATCGGAGGTGGTGCTCTTGTCTATCTTTGTTTTCCTTTTAAAAACACACAAAATGCTGTAACTTACATTTGAAAAGTGTTTTGGAAAAAAAGAAAAAAAAACAGGTCCTTCTAAAATCTGGAGGAAAAACAGTATTTCATTTTCTGAATAGCTCATACTTTCTCAGATTACCAGTCAAGAGCAGGTAAAATGAAAAATCTGCATAAAATTGTTTTTTTTTTAAGTATACATAATCTAAAAAAATTTAAATGTTATTTATTTAAAAAAAAACACTTTTTCTCAAAACATTGTTAATAATAAATCTAAAACAAAAGGAAACTGTCCATCAGTATCACTTGATATATATGCCACTGATCAATTAAACCTTCAACGCTTGCCGTGTCTATTGTAATTTCCATATCTGTCATAGAAACAGTTAAAATTTGAACCAATGACCTGCAGGAAGAAAAGGTTTAAAATCTTCGACTCATGACTTATCTCATAGGATCACTTGTCCTGAAACAGCTGAATTTAGAGGATAAGAGCAGTATATATGTCTATAAAGGAAAGGCTAATAGGCTTTGTTTGTTCTATTAAATTAAGCAAAGTTGTGTGGTTCCTCATAAAACAGGTAAAGGGGGAATGACTGCATCATGATTATTTTTTTCCATTTAGGTCCCTTGATGAGCATTTTCTTACAATTTAGCTTATTTGACTTAGCACTGAATGTGTTTGACACGAGAAAGCTAATCTGCACTGCAGGAATGAATCAGGGTACTTTTTGTATAATTTTCCATATTACTTTCAACCCCAAAACCATGAATTTCTGCTCTCCTTAAGTAACATACAACAGTATAATAAGTGTGATTTGTTCAATCATTCAGGATTGTATAGAAACAGAATTATAAGTAAATGGTTTAGATTGGGAATGGTGAGGTCATAACCATAGCAAACCTTGTACTGCAGAGTAAAGAGAAACTAAATTCATCCAGGAAATTAGCATTTATGCCCCCCACCCCAAAAGAAAAATCAAGAGTAGAAATTTGACAAGGAGAAGGATTGATGATGCTACCTAGTTTGATAATGAAATGTCTG